GAATTATTATTTTTGTTCGTAATGACGGTAAATTATGACATATACGCAGTCAAATCATTAATCGAACAAATTATAATAATATGGACATTACACGTTATGATATTCCAAACTCACTGGATTATTTTTATTATCCAATGACGTAAATTATTCCTGATTTAAGTGAGTTCGTTCCAATTTTTTCTTTTTCATGTCATTTTCGGCCTAATATTACACTCTATCATAGACAAGTTTGGATTCATACTCCCGATAGTAGGAACTTATGTTCTCGATAGGCAACTAATGTTCATTCATCTCATCGGTACTCAGCAATCATCGTTTCCTACATTTTCAGCGACAACCTAAATCGAACTTCCGCAATTTTTGTTTCACTATGATCCCTACTTTAATGTCTATACACAAATCAAGTATTCGACGCCGCATTACCAGCCGTATAGTAATGATTATGTTCCTATTATCTATTCATTCACATGTATAACTGAATGCTGCATCATCCATTACCTATAAACACTATTCGGTTACTGCAACTAATATTCTATTCCTATTTCATAGTATACAAGAACAGAGTTTAGAGCTAATCTCTCAAAGTTACACTCTTGTTCGTCACACTCAAGTCAGTCTCACTTGCCGTCATCGATAATCATACGTATTGGTATTTTTATTATGCCTTAATACGGTTTCGTAACAAACGAGGTTGAGCTCCTATCCCTCTAACTACACAAACCACTCTAGGCTTCACGACCATAAAGGAATACGACTCCGCATATCTCGTCTAAGCAGTCACTATCCTGTTCCTCTGGTCATTCTACTAATACATATTTAACGATAACTCAACGCAAGCGACAAGGCACACTGACTTCGCACTTTATTATCATTATCAATAGCAGTACAGCAAAGAATATCAACCGTTGATGCAGTCATCATCCTACGGCTGGATTATTTTTATCCCACATAAACTCCAATCATATAAATTCCAGTACACTCGTCACTAATCGACGCTATTTATTCTATTGCGGCTTATCAGAACATATTTCACTGTTCTTCATCCTCATATTCAATCAGCACCACAAAGCAATTACTGTTATATTCTATTTTCACGATATTTCGATTCCCGCATATTAACCTGTTATTTTATCGTCCAGACAGTCACGACATAAATGCATGTTAAATTTTTTGTAAGCTTACTAATTTACTCATAATCACATGCTAGCATCCCCATTTTTGTCCGCATCTTGACAATATTCATGTACATTTTTACATAAGTATGACACTTTCGTTTAATACGCTCACCCCACTTGACACTGTAATTTATCAGGTATTGTACCATTTTTTCCCACATTTTGACGTTATCCACATACCGCTTCAGTGTTATTTTTCGAAAACAGACATTTTTTTTATAAATGTGCTATTTTCTACAAGGGGGCTATGTAGTATCGGTTGTTATGTTAAGCCCATATACCTTATTCTAGTTGCTGGCCGAGCCAATTCACCTGTACATTGAGTCATCTTTTGATCTTGTTAATCATTTGCTTATTAACCTTGACTATACTTTTATATGAGCCTATATGTGTACACTTCGTATCTCATTCATCATATGTCTGTCACTCATTTTTGTCCGACTATAAATGTTGATTAACGCTTGCTTAAATCGAGTTGGCTTCCCAGTCAACATCCAATGCGCATCATTTTTGCTTCTTTCCGCTTTCATCTATTGGCTTCATCACTCTGATTCCCTGGACAGACCAATGAGTGTAGAAATTATATGTATTCTAAATCCATTCTCGTATTTGACTTATTTAACTCTGTTATTCACTAACGCGGATAAGGTCATTTGTTACATACGAGGATAGATAGTACGTACGATCAAAAAGGAATCAGATTTACGCCGCAACACAGTTGATTATAATCAGTGTAATTAAACAGCCCAAGATGAGGCTTGCAAAAGTATTATATTATATTTACGGTATTAATCAGTTTTTTTTCCAACCTTTGAACCTTACTTACTTGGGCCTGTTACTCCAAATGGAGCATAGGCCGCCGACCAGCGTTCTCCAACCCACTCTACCCTGGGCCTTCTTTTCTAGTTTCTAGGGTGTAGGTCCTTATTCCTTAAAATCATTGGGATATTTTACTGATGAGAGACAACTAGCAATAAATCTACATACATAACTTTTACCAACTATCCGTAGTACTATAACATCTAGACTTAGTGCACATGATGTCGAGTCATTGAAACTAATGACCACACATTAACATGATCCATATAAAAAGCCAAACAAATATGAAGTAGATTACCGCTCGATGTTCACTTTGTGTATGGCCATAAAATATCAATTATTACAGTAAAATAACCTCGTAATGCCATCAAGTAAATCGCTACTTATTTACTTCATTAAGCGGTAACAATGATTAAGAAATATTTAACTAGTGCTCAATTGTTATTAATTGGAAATAAGATGAGAATTTCGAGACGGGATAATTCATCACTTTTTAAGTGAATCAAGTTTAGTGACACTATCTGCTCCTAGTTTTGATTTCAAGATAATATTCTTCCGAGACTCATGTTATTGCTAATTGATTTCTTTTGCTTTTCTCGATAAATGTAACCGCATTGTGTATACTCGTTGGGTCATTGACTCGCTTCTTCTTTTGATTTTCTCTTTTCTAGCTCTCCCCACTCACGTTACTCTTCGTGCTACCTTCGAAGTACCTGACTAGACGCGAACCGCTACACGAGTCCACAGTTTGAAATATAGATATCAAAACTACTACCACCAAATATTATGTCCCAGTTAATTTACATGATAGTCCTAAAAGAGAAGTAATCTTGTACATAACTTTTACCTGTTATTCGATGCCTACTTATAGGCCCATAATACTAGGACCCCTTAGTCATGGACTAGAACCCTCCCCATTGTAAAACCAGTGTTGCAGAACACGTCAGCTTGACAAAAACACTGCTTTAGTCTGATAGTACATAAGAGTTTAGACGATGTCTTTTAGATGTTCATGTCTTGTTTGTACTTCACGGAAGGAAACGTTACATCAATATGTATTCGTAACGAAACAAGCTGTCAGTAAAGCTTACTTATACGACAGAATTACCTAACCCCGGAAATTGACACATCAACTAGAGGCAACTTACTGAATAAAATACTTTACTTTCAGCTGACAAATAAAGTTTCAATTCCCTTACAGTTAGCCTAGTTTGGGCGGCCGAATAATAATAGAACTTGCATAAAAATAGCTATAAGCTGACAAGAACATATGACACAGCCGACTTGATGAATAAACATCCCATATCATTTCCATGAACGACGGTTGCGGTGCGTTTACTTGCTAAGGATATTTAGTGACATATTCCGAAACTTTGATGATCATAAGCGCTACGAAGGGAACTAAATCTCAAGGGTTAAACACAGTCAAGTTTTATGATGTCTGATTATTGACTGGACCATTTCAAGTACACGTGGCTTTATTTGCACACACCTGAGAAGTGGAATGTCCAATGATACCGTTAAACAGTAGATTGCTTGGATTTTTGCGGTCCTCTATGGAGACCTAGATTGGCTGTAATGGGTAAGTCAATCAGCTACAACACAGGACCAGACACACATATGCATCGGTTCAGGTTGCCACACCTCATTAGCACAAGATGAACACCAAATTCATAGTAGTTAATTTAGTGGTGGGAATATATAAAGGAAAGATTGTATATAAGGACATAGTACAGGAAGACAGATATGTAGCAATTTTAATCTCAAGGTTTAAGGGTGTACACATCTGCGCCATTTTGATCGATTCTGAGCCATGTCACTCAGTCTCCAACCATTGGTTACGATAGTCACACGGACCCCAACCAAGTAGTCTGCATCTACCAACATGGCTCAGACTAGAAGTTAGTGACTTCAAGCACTGATACCACGTTGCAATGGGTAAAAAATATGGACGACTGATATATGGTAATCTAGTGAGTAAATAGGTCTATCCACTTCTGGATTACTAACACGATATGTAATTTACGATTTTTGAGTAGCTGCCCACTGATGCTAAAAATATGGATTCTCTCACGTTACGAACCACCGCACTGTGGAGCACTTCCTGGCAGACATGTCGTTTGAACTTCAGATACTAAGTCGTTGGTTCGAACGCCGCTCCAACTACTTAGGTTTGAACAACCGGATATCATTATTATTGGCTTTATTCACTAACGCTGGAACATATGGCTCGTACCCAAGCACCTGATGATCGAGGTAATTAATAACAAATACACGAGACCACATGGAACTTGAGTAGAAAATACTAATCTACCAACCACCTTTAAACCTCCAAATAAAAAGGGCGTAGACGAGCAACTTAAAATGAGGTTTAGTTGACTGTACCTAATAACAAACCGAGTCCAACATGTTAGCTAAAAGGAATTTTTAAGGAAAATGCTTTTAATAGAGACTTAATAACAGTCACTACATTAACGACTGGACATCCCAAGAACAACAGACGTTAATTCTAGGTAACATATATGCATATTAACTTCATATACTCATTTTACGTCACGACTTATTGGCAGAGAACAGGGCAGTCAACTTGCATAACGTAAGAAAGCAAAACAGTCATAAGACCACTAGATAGGCTACATGGTCTAAATACTGGTGCTTAGACATGAAACTTAGTATAGTGTCGTAATAATTTTGACGACTGCAGATTGTCCTGGAGAAAATTGTTCGCTAGAACCTACCGAAAAAAAACTTAAGAAAGATATTAACGCTTCCAAGGAATGATACCATAAGTGTAGTATTACATGAACCTAGTTTAACGCTGGAGTATAGTATAATTGAATACATCAATGGTCTCTCACAAACTAAATCCGGAAGGTGTGAATACTCGAGGAATAAACAATATGTCGCCCTCAATACTCAACATACACTTATTTTCCTATGCTGGGAATCTTTTAGTGGTCTTAACTATAATTTGACACGATTATGCAAATAATAAGACCGGTCAAGTATGATCGCTTGCTAAAAAAATACTTTTCAAGGATATACGAATGTAACGAACAATATAAATCCTAATACCACACGTGCACTCACAATACAACTGAGCAAGGGAAATATATCAATTATATAGCATAAATCCTAATCAAATGAACAAATAACGGTCCAAAAGCAACTAAAGAGATTAAGAAATAGACTAGATAGATCGTACCGAAATGCAAAATATTCATACAGATAGGTAGAATCAGAACTAGGACAGTGTAATGTGAAGTTAGGTCATCATCAAAAATCGCTATCAAAAGAAATAAATAGAAAGCTCTGTGTAATGTACATACAAAAATAGTAAATATACATTCATCCACAATTTCCAGAAAATTCAGTGATTGGAGGATAAGGGACATTTGAGTTTAAGGTCTGATTTGAACACGCAATAGGAGAAAAATCTGGCAAAGGACATTCATTTGAGAAGTCAGTAGACACAGTAGACTGTGGGGTAGTTTGGCAAGAGGATAAATAATTGTCATTAAAAACGCGAACTTTGTAGTTTGGATCAAATGGTATACCACGAAGCAAACAAACTTCCCTTTTCAAAGCTAGTATTTGAGTTTGTAGTACCAAGTTGGATTTTTCAAGATAACTTGCACGTAATGCTATTGTATCTTCACGACGCTTGCGGTTGTCTCTGGAACGTTTAGCTGCCAAGTTGTTTTTCAGTCTACGCTGAATATAGCGATCATCTTTATCTGACGGCTTCATCTTTTCGGAGGACCTGGTTACGGTACTGCAGTCTGAATTGCAGTCTGAAGAGCTTATCTGGGAGTCTTTCGTACTCAATGACACTGGTTTGTCATCGATACCAGGCGAACTACTGGTGAAATTAAGTCGAGAGCTTCTTCCTCGATTACGTCTTTTTATATCCGGACAAATCATATGATCCTGTACGTCATTTGAGGCAGATGGTGAATCAGAATTCGAAAACGTCTGATGAAGGTATGGATGTGAACAAACTCCAGGTGAGTACGTAATGGGAGGCATAGGATTTAAGGGACTAGAAGCAGAGTGATGCAAGCCAAAGTTATTTAGTGTAAGAGAGGGAAGAATCTGTCTTTGAAGTTCTGTATCGTAGGTGTATTCTTTCTTGAAAGCATCAGTGTTTACTGAATTTATCGTTTGCTCGAGAGATGGATATATGCAAGAAGAAAATGAAGGATGAATATTTTGAAAGCCTCCAACTTGCGTATTGAGTTGGCATGCATCTCGGATTTGAAGATTTGAGTGTAGGTCCAGAGATGTACCTTCAAACGGCACCTGCATCATATCAGCTGACGGCTGATTTGAAGTATACGAAACCCCGCGTTTGAACTAGGCTTTGCTTTTCAATGCGTATAAACACTAAGTCGGATTGTTTCAATTTCAGCTTCTCAATACTCTGAAAAAGCACTACTATGTCCTCACTAATACTCGTAGTAAATTGCTTGACGAAAAATAGTCTTTTGATCATATTTATCGAATTTCTGAGGGAAAAATCAGTCTCAATTTGGAAAGGACAGGAGGCTTGATGGCCTGTGTTAGTCCTCGCAATGATGGTCTCTCAGCTGATCCAACTTTCTTTTGAAGGAGTCGACGGATGGAGCCTCAACCGCGTGCAGAGGTAATGAATTCCACTCGTTGATTATTCGATGGGAAAGTCGGTAGTCAGCTGACAAGTAATTCGTTCGGGGCTTGTGAACGTTTTTGGAGTGTCCTCGTAAATTTTCTGTATTGGAAGACAAGAAAAATGAGGGTATATCAGGTGCAAATTTGTCATTAGGCTATTTAAAAACTGTAATCAAGTCGCCTCTGATTCTTCTATACGACAGCGGGGATAGGTTTAGCTTGATCAGTCTAGTACCATACGAGAGCTTCGCTATTCCGGGAATCAGCACGACAGTGTGCAGTAATCTTTAAGTCTTGACTAACGATGACGTCTAAGTCATTGTGTGTCTGGAAAATGGGTACTTCAGTGTTATTCATTGCGTATGTATCTGTACCTTGACGACCGATATGCATTACAATACACTTGGAAGTATTTATCGGTAATTTCCAGGTTCGGGACCATTCAGATAATCTCTCCAGGTCATTTTGGAGTTCTAAGCTATCACCATTACTTTGCATCGTTCTCCATATCTTGACATCGTCAGCATAGAGCAAGACCGATGACGATAGTAGACGAGGTAGGTCATTAACGTACAGGAGGAATAACATTGGTCCCAAAATTGTACTCTGGGGGACTCCACTAAGCACAGTTTCCCAGTTAGACAACTTGGAGTTCACCTGTACTGTTTGTTGACGCACAACTAGAAAGTCTTTTATCTACGTTAATAGATTGCCGCCAATCCCGACATTCCTTAGCTTAAATAGCAGCCGGTTGTGCGGAACTTTGTCGAAAGCATTGCTGAAGTCGATATAGGCTACGTCTATAGGTAACTTTTGGTACTTAAGAGCTCACTAGCTTTCACGAGCGACCAATAAGTTGGTGAGACAAGAGTAACCTGTTCTAAAACCATGCTGCTTTTCGAAGAGGATCCAGTTTTCGTCGAGATACTTTAACAGTTCCTTCCGAATAATCTTTTCTAAGATTTTAACAACCACACTAGTTAGGCTAATTGGTCGGTAATTCTCAGGCTTATGTTTTGTAACTGTTTTGAAGACTGGACTTGTTATGGCGTGTTTCTATGGTATATACATTGCTTTAGTATTTAGAGAATACTTGAGCTTTGCCAAAGTTGTCCTCCACTAGTGATGAGGCAGTACTGTCTCCCCATAGTGAAGGAACATTTCTTCTTCTTTTTGCTCTTTGGTTTATATAGGAATACAAGCGTTTAGGGCGTTCTATGGATTCCTTTACGATTTTCTCTTCGTACAGCTTTCTGGGCTTACGAAAGGTTGAGGCACAGGTATTTCGAGCCTTTTGATACTGAGATTTTGCCTCGTCAGTCCCCAGTAACCTAAATCTATCCCACATTTTCCTTCTTTTACGGAGAAGGATGCGAACCTCCCTACTGAACCACGGTGGGGAGTTTCTCGACCCCCTAGGCGTAGTTTAACGGATGTGGGGGGCGGTAACTTTTAAGTATAAATTCCGGAATACGCCCCAAGCCGTTTCGATTGAGGACTCTGTGTCTATTGTCCAATCTACTGATGATGCTGAGTGCATGATGCCTGGTATGTTTGCTTTCCAGACGTTAGGTCTGGATTGAGCTGACGCGTGCTCGTGATCGACAGTTATACGGAAGTCAAAGGTTAAAACTGCATGATCACTTTTGCCTAGAGGTGGCATGTAATCCAGGTTTTCAACGTTATCCTCATAGTGAGTCAATATAAGATCTAGTAAGAATGATTCAGAGCCCGGGTCGTACCTAGTTGCTTCCTTCACGTGTTGCACTAGGGCACATGTGATAACCGCATCAAATAGTTCCTGACCGAAGGATCTATCTGGCGATTCAGTCCGCGGATTTCTCCAGTCCACCATGGGTGCATTAAAGTCCCCTAGTATTAGACATCGATCAATTCATGATAAAGTGTTGAGACTGCTTAGCAGGACCTCGTTTACCTCACAGCTGCGATAGATCAAACCAAGCAGCAACTCTTGTCCATTGCATTTCAGGCGGCAGCTAACTAATTCATACGTCCCACTCTCATAGGATACACTGTCGATAATGGTGAATGGGATAGCATTCCTAATGAATAGAGCTACTCCCCCTCCTTTACGCTTTTGTATTCTATCGGCACTTACTAATGTAAAACCCTCGAAATCAAGTTCCCTACAATCTATAGACGGAGTCAGCCAAGTTTCTGTGACTGCTATTACGTCTGGCTTAGTTGAGTCAATCTGTTCACCTAGTTCCAATAGTTTATTGAGCAATCTCCGGGCATTGTTGTAACAGATCCGAAGCCTATTTAAGTGGCCTCGTGCTTCACCCAGAGTGGCTTCGACATCATCCTCTGTCGAAGCCTCAGTATCTAGTAGTAGTGGATCATCAATACCTGTATCCCTTTGATGATGGTTGCAGTAGTTCTCCAAGTTTCAGCTCCGTACAGTAGGATTAACTGTCCTGACATTTATATTGAAGCCTGTGATTTTGATATTGAATGACGGACAGTTTTTTTGAATTCAATATGCTATTTAACTGTAAGAGTGCTATCCTTGATTTGCCAGTCTTTACCTTTGAGCCTGCATCAGATACTCCTCACTCATCGATGATGCTTTCCAGGTGCGTGAAAGATTCTACATCTTCCAGACTTTCCCTTTCAAGTGCGGTTGTGTTGGTATTCTCAGTGTTGAATTTGTGGATGTTTAAAGATGCAGAGGCTACTAGTACATAAGTTGCTTCCATCTGAATTTGTTGTTGTGTATGGGATAAAAAGGGCCAGGTCATCTATGAAATCGAAATTGTCTAATTGATTCTGAGAGATATCCATTGTATTCCGTGATTTCCCTCAGATGTCGAAGTCTTCATAATCCAGTCAATCACCAGAAGAAAGAGGAGGGCGAAGAGTAGACAACCTTGTCTGACTCCTGTCCCTACTGGAAATGCATCTCTCAGCTGTCCTCCATGCACGACTTTGCACTGTAGTCCACCGTATGAGTTCTGGATAATGTTAACAATCTTCTAAAGAACTCCATAGTATCGAAGCAGTTTCTGTAATGTTCTCCGGTCCACACTGTCAAACGCCTCCTCGTAGTCAATGAAGTTGATGTATGGTGATGAATTCCATTCAACTTATCGTTCAACTATGACTAGTAGTGTCTCAATTCGATCTGTGCACGATCGAACCATACGGAATCCAGCCTGTTGATCTCGAAGTTTGGGCGTCTACTGCGTCTTTCATCGGGTTCAAAAACAATCTGTTGAAAATTTTTACTGGTAATGGCAGAAGTGTGATACCTCTGTAATTCTCACATTTGATCAGATCTCCTTTCTTTGGTATCTTGATGAGATATCCTTCTTTCCAGTCCGTTGGCACTTGTTCCTCTTCCCAAATCTTCTTGAATAGAAGGTGAAGCATATTTGCAGTTATTTCAATGTCTGACTTCAGTGCTTCTGCTGGCATATTGTCAGGTCCTGCCGCCTTCCCACTTTTGATTTGTCTGATGGCCATCTTGACTTCTTCGATCGTTGGTGGAGTGACATCTATTGGAAGGTCTGTGTGGGCTGCTTCGATGTTCGGTGGATTTAATGGAGCTGGCCTGTTCAGCAGTTCCTCGAAGTATTCTACCCATCTTTCCCTCTGTTCTCGAATCTCCGTGATTATCTTTCCTTCTTTGTCCATGACTGGTCTCTCTGGTTTGCTATATCTTCCTGCCAGTTTCTTAATTGTATCATATAGTTTTTTCATATTCCCTTCTCTTGCAGCTTTTTCCTCCGTCGTTGCTAGTTCTCCCATGTATTTCTGCTTGTCGGCCTAAATACTTTTCTTCACTTCCTTGTTTGCTTCTGCGTAGTCTGCTTGTGCCTTGACTTTCTCTGCTCGTGTTCGACTGTTGTTAATTTCTGTCTTCTTGTTCTTCGTTTCTTGGATTTTGTCCAGGGTTCCCATAGAGATCCATTCCTTGTGATGATGCTTCTTAGGACCAAGAACCTCCTGACACGTTGAAGTTAGTGCTTCTTTTATCCCTTTCCAGTTGCCCTCCAAAGTAGTTTCTTGTTCTTTCAGTAGATCCTGTAGAGCTTGGAACCTGTTGTTGAGAGTTATCTTGAATTCGTGGGGCTTTTCAGTATCTTCAAGGAAGGCTGTATTGAACCTTTGTAGTGCTGTTTGTCCAGTTGTCCAGTCTTTCTTTAGCTTCATTCTCATCTTGGCCACAACCAGGTGATGATCTGAAGCTATGTTTGCTCCTATCCTGATTCTCACATCTTCCATTGTCCTTCTGAATTTTTTGTTGATACAAATATAATCTATCCGGCTCTCTGTGATGAGGTCCGGTGAGATCCATCCATTGTGTGTGCGTTTGTGCGGAAATATTGTGCCGCCTATAACCAATTTGTTGAATGCACATAGATATGCAAATCTCTCCTCGTTTTCATTTCTCTCTCATAGTTCATATCGTTTTTTTAATGAGTTTGTTTTCTACTCCTACTCCTACTCTAGCATTTGTTTTAATAATTTCAATTGACATATAATTCCCATTTAACATTAAAATTAAAAACACGAATTTCAGCGAAGGGATCTCTTTTCAACGAATTTATTATCAAGCTGTACAATCGTATATATATATGAAAAACTTTTGTTAAAGTACTAATTCCGTGAGGAAATGTGAACACTAATAACCAAGATTATAATACTGGATTACGTAATATGAATAACAACAATAGATTTAGTGAATATAGTAAGACAGATAAAATGTTTTGGTTACAAT